ATGTTGGCTCTTGTAATTTATTACAGGCATAGAACATTTTCAGTGTTATTTCAATCCTTTTAGATTTGTTGAGGGACCCCCTGGGTGGTGTGCTGTAGCTTTACACAAATAACACGTGCACTGGATTGTTTGCTTTGGCCACCTGTGCAACTCTCTTGCATATTTGTTTCTTATACACAACACGCATGTTGTATTTGTGTATATCTTTTGCACATGGGTGGGTTATATGCTAAATCTGAGTTAAGGTCCTGTAATCGTTGTGATGTTGACAAATGTTGACAAGTCTAACAGTTTACAGGTGATGTCACTGCTTTTCTGTCTGTTTCCACCTTTCCCCTCATTTCTGTGAGAATTTGTACATTCAGTGTGTCAGAATTATTCCGTTCTGATCATTGTTGTGGGGGTTGTTCCTGGGTGCTGACTCACAGTTTACCCCTGTGGCAGAGTGGAACCGCACCTTAGGGTCTCCTCAGGAGCTGCTGGTGGAGTCCAACTTCTGACCTTTCAGTTAGCACTTTAACCACTGCATCACCAGGGCTCCTGTATGGATGACTCTCTTGTTTAAATGTAGGGTTCTTATTTCTGTGACGTTGACAAGAAGCCTTATGTAAGGAAACATCTTCTATTTTCCTTTGAGAAGTTTCTCTCTTCGTTTTCTGCCCATTTTTCTACTGGGTGCTCATAAATAGTTCCTTCTGTATACACTTTGCAGATTGTTTGGCTTAGAAAATGCCCCCCACCCCCCCAAAACAAGAAAAGACAAAGCCTGAGTCTAGTACCAGAGAGCAGCCTGTGGTTGATGGGTTGGGAGTGGAGGGAGGCTCGTTACCAAGGGGGCAGGACACTTGTGGGTTTGCATTTTGCTGTGACAGTTTCATAGGTGGATGTATGTGTTAAAACTCATCAAATCATACACTTTAAAGCTTGCAGTTTATAACATGTAAGTTAAAACGTAATAAAGTATTGAACACATACTATGTTATCATTTATTACCAGGAGCATTGTTGTCTGCATTCATTGTAGGACCTGGCATTTTACTGTAGTTAATGTTATAAGGATGCTTTCATTTTTATCATCAGCCCAACCAAACCTACTGCTGAGTTGGTCCTGACACACCGTGACTGCAAGGCAGGGAACTGCGTGGGTGAGAGAGTGGGGCCATGCAGATTGGGTGTGTTCATCTTTCCATAGTGAGTCTGGATAAGAGAAGATGCAGAAATGATTTTCTGATTCAATTATGAAGGGTTGTTAGCAGGACTAATTGCGGTTGTAAAACTTTGGAACTCTAACAGAAGAATTGGTCAGTTTGCCATTCTGCTAGGTGAAAAGTGAGTCATCTCGGAAGTAGGAAGGGAAATCTTAAAACAACCAGTAAAGAAGAGCCTCAAGTGGAACACAGTCTCCGGACCCTGAGAGCCCTTTGTACAGAAAGATGTGTTTCCAAAGGAACAGCAGGAGCAGAACCAGGAGACAGAGCAGAGACCGAGCTGTGGCCTTCCTGGCCCACAGAGCAAGTACCATGGAGCGCCTTCAGGCAGGAGACTCACATGTGGAGGAAGGGGTGTCCCCAGGCACTTGTTTGAGGGGCTACGATTGCTGACACACGGAGCTAGAGCAGAGTCCCTTCTGGCTGAGGCTTCTAGGGGAGTGGAGAGCCCTGTGGGCATTGATCCGCAGCACTGAACATTGACCATCCTGTAACCATGGTAGAGAGGAGACAGTCCTGAGTGTTTCTAGTCCTGAGTTGTAGTCTGTTACCTTCCCTACGGAACTCCATAATGACGAGTATTGTCTGTGAGTTCAGTGTAGCCACGGCAGTGAATTCTTGAACCCAGCAGAGAAGTAGAAAGTTCTGGGCCCGGGATGATTGGTGTCAGACCTCCACCTCATAGGAATGAGCTTTGGAGTGACTCGCCTCGTCCCCACGTGTGAAGTCAGAGGAGGCCGGATGCTGCCTCCATGTCTTTTGGCAGTGACCTGATAGGACAGAGTAGAACGGCCCCCTAGGGGCTCCAGGGTTGCACAGTTTTGCACAATCAAACTGTCACATCTGTCTTACAGTTTGGCTGGTGGGCTTGAACTTACCTTTGAGTTACCAGCCCAACGTTTCTCCACTGTACTCCCATAGTTCCTGGTTAATAGGACAGATGTATTTAAAAATGTCACAGTGCTTCCAGAGTCCTGGTGTAGGGGTGTAGGGCAAGGTCCGTTTGTGTTTGCTCCGTAAAACCATGAAGCATTGTTAAGTGCCATGGAGTTGGTTCCAACTTACAGGCGTCCTATCTAGGGCTTCTGAGGTTTTCAGTCTGTGTGGGAATGCAAAGCGGTATCTTTCTTCTGCGAAGTAGCTGATACGTTCAAACCAGTGGCCTTGTGGTTCTTGGCTGTGTGCCGTGGAGTCGGTTCTGACTCATAGCGACCCTGTACAGGTTTTCGAGGCTGTAAATCTTTATGGGAGCAGAACGCCTCATCTTTCTCCCGCGGAACAACTGGTAGTTTTGAACTGCTGACTTTGTGGTTCGCAGCACAATTCGTAACCACTACACTACCAGAGCTCCTTGTGATGGTGGTTATGTGCTGTGGAGTCAGTTCCGAGTCAGTGACCCTGTACAGGGTTTCCAAGGATGTAAATCTTTACGGGAGCAGAAAGCCTCATCTTTCTCCCATGGAGAGGCTGGTAGTTTCGAACTGCTGACCCTGAGGTTCGCAGTCTGAGTCGTAACCATCATGCTACCTGTGTTTATCTTACAGAACCACCATATCTCCCCCCGCCAAAAAAAAAAAAAAAACCAGTATATTCTAGAAAAAAGAAAACTTACTTTTTGAATGACTACTGTATGTAAATGTGTAGCTTCCTCGGGTCTGGTATGTTGTGTGTAGCTCTTTAGGGGAAAGCTTAGGTTTAATCCTGGATACAGGATGATTAGGGTTTCATTCAGTAGCTGTGCTGCCCTCACTGTCGCTCTGTCTCTCGAATGTCACCGATTTGGGAGTGTCATGTCCACAGCTACTGCTCACATCATCTGGGGAGTGTCCAGGTAAGGAAACTTGTGAAGCTGAGGATGAACGTGCCAGCAAGTCATCTCCTCATGGCTGTGCTGCGGGTCTGCAAGGCAGCCCGACTTCCTGTGCTCTCTGTCCTGTGGGACCACAGACGGGAAATGATGAGTTTCCTTCCGGCTTTGTGATCCAGCAGATTTATTAACTCCAGTGAGATCACGGCAACTTTCAATAAATCATGACTTGCTGATTTATGTCAAAAGATCCATAGAGCAGTAAACAATACCATTTACATTTAATTAGCTTTATTGAACACAAGGCAATTTTATTTGTAATGAACCACATGTTATGATTAAGGATGTATTTTAATGACCTTTAAGTAATGCAGACAAATGTTGCCCTTGACCCAATAGCAGAGGCTTTCCTGCATTATTGAAGGCTTCCGAATGGTTTTAAATGATTGTGAACTGCTCGGATGACAGTGTCATTATGGCGCCGTTAGTCAGTCATTTGATGTCTCATCCAGGCGGTGAGATGCAGGCCTCTAAGTGCTGGTGGGCGTGTCGAAATGCTGCTTGCTTCATGGATCAGAAGACAGTCTGCTGTATGACAGTGTCATGTTGAAATGATGAGTGACTCGCACATTTGCCTGGGGATTGTCTGCCTCCTTCTTCAGCATATTAGCCGTGTTTTCATAAGTCTGCATTTATTGTAAGATGTATTTCTTATTGTGCAAACTATGTTGACATAATGAAGTGCAAAGTAGGGTCTATTTGTTAGCATGCTGTTGCAGCTGCCGGAGCAGAGGCCCGCCGTGGATGCTTGGTTTGTCTAGCTTTCATCCCAGCCTTCCTTTACTCTAGAGTCTCCGTCTCTAGAAAAGCACAGGGTGTGCCAGGTAGAATGGGTACGACTTACCTTCCTGCTCCTTACGGTAGATGTCTGCTGCCAGTAAATCTGGGAAGCCTGAAGAGCTTCCTGCCGTTCACTGAATTTCTGTGTCATTGCCCAGCTTAATTGGGTCACCTTGTGTCCTCTGGCATGCTGCATGATGGTGGATGTGGCTGGGTGGTTAAGTAGTAGTTCACTTTAACTGTGTAGCTCCATGTCAGCTGACGTGCTCTGTAGACAGGACCTGATCTCTTTCAGCCCCCCTTGCCAGGGTCTCCATTCTCCTCAGTGAATACAGAGTAACACAGAGACCTCATCCTCCTTAGAGAACACAAAGGACCATGGATGGAGACCCCAGTCCTCCTCAGGGAGCATGAAGACCATGGATAGAGATCCCATCCTCCTCAGGGAACACAGAGGACCATGGATAGAGACCCCATCCTCCTCAGGGAACACTGAGGACCATGGATAGAGACCCCATCCTCTTCAGGGAACACAGAGGACCATGGATAGAGACCCCATCCTCCTCAGGGAGCCAGGACCATGGATAGAGGCCCCATCCTCCTCAGGGAACACAGAGGACCATGGATAGAGACCCCATCCTCCTCAGGGAATACAGAGGACCATGGATAGAGACCCCATCCTCCTCAGGGAACAGGACCACGGATAGAGACTGAATTGTATGAGCCTTTTGAATCTGTGACAATCAAGAGAGCACTTTGCCTCTGAGGGCTGACGATGTTTTCTTAAGTTATAATTCATCCTTATTCCTACTGTTGGTTCAGTAATTACATTTGGTGAGTAATATATGTAAAATATTAACTGGTAATGGAAAATTTCCAAATACTTTGGTCTCATTATAAAAGTTGTTAAGTGCCATAGAGTCGATTCCGACCCATAGCGACCTAGTATAGGGTTTCCGAGGAGCAGCTGGTGAGCTTGAACGGCTGACCATGCAGTTCAATCGGCTTTGCAGTCTGGCGCATTAACCCACAGTGCCACACCAGGACTCCATTATAAAAGTAGAACTAACTGATTCAGGTGTTGTGTGTTTCAGGACTCCACATTATAAAAGTAGAATTAACTGATTCAGGTGTTGTGTGTTTCAGGACCTGTTTTCCATCAGTGCTTATGTCTCTGCCCAGAAGCCCCAGCAGGACATTCATAGTTTTGAAGGGACTTTCACCAGGGTAAGTGACATCTTTGCTTCCATACAAGTATACTTAATTGTGTGTAAATTACAATTAGAAAGCCTATATTTGAAGGGCAAGAGAATCAAGAATAAATTCAAACACACATTTTGAACTAGGAAAATAAAAACCTTCAGAACATTTCAAGTTCTTCAATTTCTTGTATTGAATATCTGTTTGGGATAGAATCAGTACAAGTTTTCTAATTTTAGCTTATCTTCTGTTGATAAACTCCTTTTCCCTTAAAGTAACATGTTGTTGTATGTTGTTAAGGGCTGTAGAGTTGGTTTTGACTCATAACAGCCTATATAGGGTTTCTTAGGAGCAGCTGGAGGGTGTGAATTGCCAGCCTTCTCCTACAGTGACACACCATAAATCAGTAAGATGGTGTTATTTAGGTATTTTGGGTTTTGATAATAGTTAATATGATATGATACCCACATTGTTTTTATTAGCTGGGTAGAAGAATGTGTATGGTGGGGGATACACAAAGTTTGTGGAAAAATGGAAGTAAAAGATAATGGAACTTTTTTGTGAACTTTTTGAGATGCCGTGTGTGTGTGTGTGTGTGTGTGTGTGTGTGTGTGTGTCTAATAACATGTATATTTCAGTCTGCATACTTTTCATTATTACAGAGGCTTGATAAAGTTTGCTGTATTCTACCACGACTGTTTATTGAGACTTGAAGGACTCAACACTTCTGAGTTTTTATGGTTTATACTTTATAATACATCAGGGATTTTAATATATATCTATAGTTTAGTTTTCATTGCAGCATTGACTTTTAAGTGATTTCTTTTGGTACCATCACCTTTGTTTTATTCTTGGTCACACACAAGCCTTGGTAAGCACTTACTGAGTTCCTACCATGTGCCAGGAAATGTGCAAACTGTGGGCATGCAAAAATGAGGAAAGCCGAGAGGTGTCTGGGTGCGATGGGCATTAGCCTGCAGCTGTAGATTTGCATAAGTGCTGGACTGTTGTTAAGTGCTGTCGAGTCGGTTCCAACCCATAGCGACCCTGTACAGGGTTTCCGAGGCCGTCAATCTTTACAGGAGCAGAAAGCCTCATCTTTCTCCCGCGGAGCAGCTGGTAGTTTCAAACTGCTGACCTTGCGGTTCACAGACCGATTTGTAACCCTGTGGGTTAATGCACTGGACTGCAAGATCCATTTGAACTGCAAGCCTAGAGATTCAAATTCATCAGTCACCCCTCGGAAACCGTCAGCAGGATCACTGTGAGTCCCAGTGGAGACCCTAAGGCCTTTGTGGCGGGCCCAGTGTGTCAGCTCATGGATACGAAGGGAAAGGCTGCTGGCTCCGTCTGTTGGCTGCTTCATGAGGGAGCAGACCTAGTGGTCTGCTCTTGTCCTGTATAGATTATACCCATAATTCCGCTGCCACTGAGTCCGTTCCAATTCAGAGCGACCCTATGTAGGATTTCCAATACTCTAAATCGGTACGGGAACACCAGCCACGTTTTCTTCTGTTGAATGGCTAGTGGGTTTGAACCGCTGACCTTTCAATTAGCAGTCCATTGCCTAACCCACAGTGCCACCAGGGGGCCTTTGAAATCCTAGCAGGGGTGGAAGCCAGTTAGCTAGGAAGAGGGTTGTGGTGTGTAGGGAAGCCTGGTGATTCAGATGAAGGATTCTTGGGAAAGTGCAGACAGAGTCGTGAGGAGGGACAAAGCTGGTGAAGGATGGAGTCTGCTGCAGGCATGGTGATGAAGACAAAGAAGAAATTGGCCTTTCTGAAAGCCGTCATACCAGTGATAAGAGTGAGCCCGTAAGCACTCCCAAAGGCTTCCCCACAGCACTCACTGAGCCTCCCTGCCCAGGAGAGCCTTGTCCCATGAGCAGAAGATGGAGCTCAGAATGGAACTCAGGCCTTCTTAGTTCTCCCCAATGAGTGGCTTTAACACACAGGAACGGTCTTCCTCCCGGTCCAGCAGGCTACAAGATTGGATTCAGCATCCCAGGGAAGGCTCTCTGTGGGTTCTAGTGGGAAGGTGGGCCGTGTGTCTTTTCAGCTTCTGTTTCTTGGTTCTTTGAGATCTCATTTGACTTGACGTTTTCTTCCCCCATCTCTGCTTTGTCTACTCTTTGAGATCTTAAAATGAATTGATAGAGACACACCCTATACTACCACTGCCTCCTCTTTAACATAACAACGAAGACTTGTTCCCTATGGATTTGTAACCACAGACCTAGATAGGGCTTAGGATTACAGCACACAGTTTGGGGAGGTACGATTCAGTCTGTCACAATCACTAGAAGAAGAAAGCACATGGTAAAAATCAAAATTTTTCTGTTGTGAAGAAAATTCTTCAAGAACAAATCCCGAGGAGAAGAAAGCTGTGTTACAGTGCACCACCCTGATTTAAATATAGCTAATAGACCAAGTCCTGGGTTGGCGCTGTGGGTTAATGAGTCAGACTGCAGAGTCGCTTGAACTGCAAGGTCGGTGGTTCAAGCTCACCAGCTGCTCCTTGGAAACCCTATACAGGGTCAGTGTGGGTCAGAACTGACTCGACAGCACTTAACAACAATAACAGACCGAGAGACAGTTATTCGGACTGAGAAAGGGAACACCAAATGGTTTAAAATTGGGAAAGGTGTGCGTCAGGGTTGTATTCTCTCACCATACGTATTCAATCTGTATACTGAACAAGTAATCAGAGAAGGTGGATTACATGAAGAAAACATGGCGTCAGGATTGGAGGAAGGCTCATTAACAACCTTCGATATGCAGATGATGCAACCTTGCTTGCTGAGAGCCAAAGGACTTAGAATACTTATTGATGAAGATCAAAGACCACAGCTTTCAGTATAGATTACACCTCAGTGTAAAGAAAAGAAAATCCTCACCACTGGACCAATAAATAACATCCATATAAATGAAGAAAAGATTGAAGTTGTCAGTGACTTCATTTTGCTTGGATCAGCCATCAACACTTATGGAAGTTGTTGTTGTTGTTAAGTGCCTTCGAGTCGGGTCCGACCCATAGCGACCCTGTACAGGGTTTCCGAGGGTGTAAATCTTTACGGGAGTAGA